TATGTATTTACGTTCACTTACACCATGTTAGAGGCATTGGCCAACTACAAATCCTCACTTAGTAGCACAGCAATCACTGTCTTTGATGTGTGCTGTTCACAAGTGGCAGTGCTTTTTGGTGCACAACTTTATTGCGCCTTGGCAACGATTGATGATTAAGTATATGCCTTAATACACTAGTTCGAATGAACTAGTCTTCATAGTCTGTGACAGAGAATGTTCATCCATAGTCATATCTAAGCAGCAGATTTCAAATTTAAATGTATATATATAACATTGTACTTTTCACGATTTTATGCTAGTATACGTGGACTACTACATCAGACATGCCTCGTCTTTACTTATATCCTAGTGGCGCTCATTCGAACCGGTGTGTTTTTGGAATGATTATGATTATGCTTATTTGGATGTAACTAATTTATCATGCTTCCAACAAATGAATTTTCCAAATATTATTCAAATTTTACAAAATTTCCAAATTTTCCTCACTTCTTAGTAATCCCTTTTACCTACCTTACTGCTCTTTTTACATAAAATTTCATAGTGTGGAATGATCTTTATGTTTATTAAAAACAACCCTCATAATTTAGTTCCCATAATAGACAGCCCCTTATGTCATATGCTATATATATATATATATATATATATATATATATATATATATCAGTTTTAGATTGTAAACAGCTGATAGTTGGCCGCCTTAATAAATTAAATTCATACTCTTTTTTTACAAAACTTGGGCGGCGGTTAGCAGTGGAATATATGATACACGTACTTTCTATGTCTGCAGCTGAATAAGTTACGCTCTAGGGTTGCGGATAACAACACTAGTAACCTAGACGCTCACCTTAACACCAATATGCGATTGAACGAATCTTACAAGGTAAACTTTAGTAATTATATCCATGTGCTTGTATTCTGCTCGACCACATTATTAATAATACTAGTACCTGTTATTCATTCCTTGAGTTCTGAGTAGAGCAGCACCTGTCCATTGTATTCTGATCTACGCCGTCATTTTCATTCGGCTTCACTATTGTACACAAGGTGTAACTTCCTCCACACATTATCTCCTCTATGTCAGCTTCGGACTACCAACTTATCACTCCTTAATTGGTGGATGGTGACTAGCAGTGGAATCCAGGATGCGCATTTCATCCTATTCGGGACTCATCAGCTGGGTGTGCCTACATTCCGCAGTGAGTGATGATGTTCCCACCGAGGCTCGAACCCAGTGCCCATAGTTTCAAACGCCAAAGCGTTAACCACTAGACCACTTGGGCCACGGGAGCCACCTCTTATGCAGCGGATCATATTAATTATTTAATTCAGTTGTAGATTTTCCCGTCGACTGATTGAACCGATGTGCCCAGACATCGTCGAAGCATCTGCACAAGAAGCCAACATGTCAACCTGAGACCGAGCACTTCAGTCCAATCAATCGACGGGAAAATCTAAAATTGAATTAAATCATCGCTTCTTAGTTGGATTCCACTCAACGGTCAGGCTTATGACATCATTCAACAGTCACCTCAAAGCATGTCCAGTGCATCTCCATTTCCTTCTGAAAGTTTTATTGGGTAATAGGTTCTTGGCTGGTTTGCTTTCATATCGAGTAGCGAATACAATCAGGAACTAAGGATAATGTATCTTCCACACTGGTAAACGCATATGATATTTTTGCTAAGAAACAAAATATTCTTTAAAATCTAGAGGAATCTTTGAATATGCGAGACCTTCTTCAGAATCAGTTATTGCGTTTGAATCACTCTTCTGAATAATTTAAAATAGTGGGTAAACAAATTTAAAGAAATGAAAAATCTAAAGGTGTTACGCAACTCAGTTGTTAATGGTCCATCTCAAAACAAAATGTGTTATCTGTTTTCAGAAGTCACAAATCCGAGTACATCGTTGATGAGCTCGGTGGTCAAACGAAGCGAACGGTTATCATGTGTTTAGATCAATACGATTTGACTAATAGGAACTACCGCAGCAGCAGTATATACAACTTTTTCTTAATTGCCAGTTATGATGCTAAGCAGAACATGAATTGAGATCCGAATAATTTTTAATTCCCAAAGGTAACTGTGGTGACATCTCACCTGGAATGGTGTAACTGGTATACGACGGATTTGATTTCATGTATCTCTGCAGAGATCATATATTGAATTTCCCATTTGGTACACTGTCAACATTTGCACCATTTGTTTACATTCCAGTATTGATTATTAATAATATTCTGTTTCCCTACCTTTTGCTAACGCTTATCAAATGGGCTGTCCGTCATTTTACATTACAACTAAAAAGTATTTTAACTTTCAGATTTCTTTTGTGCATTTTATCGTTCTAATGAATATGTCTTAATCACATTTCGATTTAAAATTCTAGCATTATTATCTATTCATGAGCGCACAACAGCTTCCAATCGAATTCAGTCCAAATAAATTAAAAGGTTATAGAATATTTGTACAACAAAATATATCTGAAACCACTTATATAACGGTGAGACACTTACCACCGTTATTTCCACATTAATTATTGTTAAAGCCTTCTATAAACAAAGCTGGCCAGTACTCTTCTGTATTCAACAGATCTGTAGCTGATGATAGTTTCTGATAAAATCTATCTTTAAGATATTTTTCAATTGAATCTGAGAACTTCTCAGAGGTCTGGCTGCCCCCTATCATCTAAAACAGGAAAGCTCATTTTGTAGAGGAGTTTGAATTAGTGAAATTCAGCAAACTTCACATTACATAATGCGGAAACGAAATAATAATAATAATAATAAGCAAAGTAGTAGAATCTGGGATCCCAAAACGTTTGATATGGATGAAACTGTTGTATATGCAAGCTGTACTCTAATGAATTTAAGTGTTTTTCCACTTCTTTTTGTTTCCTTTGAATTCTTCTTATCTCTTAAATACACATTATAACGGTATAAGACGAAAGGCTTGGTAAGGAATGTTTCGACAACGCAATAAGAAGACGTAGTTCATCTGAAACGTGTAATGTATTTGCGCAACACATTTCGGACATTCTGATCATACACAGCTATACAGAAGATAAGAAGGCATAAATTATTGCAATACAGGTCAGATTGTGGACGGATCGAAGTCACTTGAATGTGTGAAGACACATACACAGGGAAGACTCATCGTCTCTGCAGATTAGGGCTGCACACAATATATTCAAAGTGGCTGCAACTACAAATAAAATCGTCGGATACAAGTGATCCCGGAAATATATGTCCAACATCATCTATAACAAAGCATATCATAGAGACAGGTCAGAAGGTTGGTTTCATTAATGCCATCAAACCCATATATTAAACAAGGTTGAGTCATATACTTAATTTTGTTGCAGCCTTGGCCATAGAAAGACTTAAGCAAGTATTATGCGGATAAAGGGTATTTGTTATTAAGTAGAGGATTTCATTACGAGCTGACATCAGTTGGAGAACCATTGGAAAACCTGCAGCGAGTACTAGACTGCTAGCTGTTTCGTCAGCCTAGTTCGGGACTCTTCATCGGTACTCACCCACCGCCACGGTTCGAACTCAGGACCTTCTGGTTACAAGGCGAGCTCGTAGACCACTAAGTCACTGGGACCCGATCCAATGACCAGCCCATGAATACTAACCTCTGCCAATTCATGACATAGCGCGACCACTTCACAATGTCTTCTTCGATGAGTTACTGCCTCACCTTCAACCTGCTGTACCCTACTGGTCACGGCTTCTCACTAGATCCCCAGGTTAACTACCTTAATAGGACCAGTCGCTAGTGAGTATGAGATTAATATTCAAGTTTTGGTTTTGTAGGGGAGGATTTTATCATGAACTGACTTGATAATCCAACTTAGAACCAAGGTTCAGTTTACTTCATAATGTAACGACAGAAGGCAAGAGTCAGGCAACAGATCATTTATTAAGGAAATCAACGCATATTTATATATGTTTCTATGTTCATTACTATGGATACGTAAACAAACAAAGACGGTCTTCCGATTAGTTGTTTCTCACGACAAATCTTGGGAACGTAAATATTGACGTAAATTACTGTCTACCAATTTGGCTAGTAGACAGCTCTCACCACAATAATATTTTCAACCCCTTCTTTGTTTGTATAATTTCTTTTCCTCCCTTCTTACCCACAACTTTGCGTCATCTTCCTACCCACTATTTGTGACCTTGACCTGTACACAATCTGATCTGTATTGCAATGATTCATCCCTTCTTGTCTTCTGTATAGCCGTGTATGATCAGAATGTCCGAAATGTGTTGCGCGAATACACTACGTCTTATTAATATATGTCTTGTTATTGTGTTGTCCAATTTTATACAAGGAACCAATTCTTTATATTTTTGAAGGAATATTTATTTGCAATTTAGTATAGCTGAATAGTAAAATAATCTACACCTTATCTTCAAATCACCATTCCCACACATCTTCTGTGCCAATTTTACCCTTCATATTGTGTTTCTTTGTGATCGTTGCACGTCTCCCATGTTTCTTCTCAACGCTGTATTATTTGCTTTCTCTGACGTGAAATGTGTAGCCCTGATATCTGATACATTTACGCTGACGAACGTCTCTTTATATACTACTGATAAATCTTATCAGTAGCACAAGCCAAAATATGCCTTTTAACACCTAATTATACTTATACATAAGATGAAGTTTGCCTTGAAATATCATACTTTTACATAGTTATAATGTCGAGTAAAACCAAACAAGTGATTTTCATTGCAGTTTTCAATACTCGATAAATCTATCACTTGTTAAAAGAGATCAGTGTATTTAGCTGTGATAAATAAGCCCGCTAAAATCAAAAAGAGAATACTCTTAAGCTATTTAAAGTAAAGGATTTATTCAAGTGTGTTCATTTTAAACAATTAAGGCAAAAATGACATTGTTTCATGTCTGTGTTTCTTTTTTTCTGGCTTTCTTCCCCTTCAGTAATCTCTTTCGCACTTTTTTTTTACCACATTTTTTCAATAGTTAACAAAACAGATCATGTCTTTTATGCTTTAATGACTACAGTGGATTCACTTTCACGTATATATGCTCTGTGTGCATTCAACTTGAATGCTGTTGATCAAAGTTTAAATATTGATCATTTAATACGATTGAAACAATCAACTAATACGCCTAGTGGTTTATCACGTATGGTATGGAGAGATGAAAATGGCACATATTCAAATATGCTTACATCAAAATGGACAGTTGATGTTGTACCACCATCAAAAATGACAGATGAAATAATGAAATCTTCTAAAGTAAGTTTTCTAATTGAAGAAAGTCTCTTTTCCATTTACTCATATCACAATAAAATGATGGCTGAATATGATACTTAGAGTCTGGATCACAAGGATACTCGAACCGAAGGGTTTTAAGTTTTTATTTATTTATTTATTTTAGAATAAGGAGGTACCAAGGATATTGTAATGAAACTTTTGCCTGAATAGTTGTTGCTTTCAATCCTTTCTTCTCACTTATGTCGAATACCGGCCAGTAAGAAATAAATAACTTATTTAGCAAACCTAAACAATAACGGACCTTTAGTACTGTGAATTAAGATATAATAATAGTTATCTTCGGATAAACACACGGTGTGCCTAATTTTCTCCTATAGAGAAATGATCTTTTGGTCATTTTGCTGGGTGTTAGCTTATTTACACGCAATGGCTATGACAAGATACAAAGATATACATATATACGTGTAAAATATTTTAAAATGATATTAAAACAAAAGCATATCTACCGGTATTGGCGACTAGTCCAAATGGCTAAATATTTGGAATAACTGGAAAAGGCGGTTCCTGAATCCTTGTCGGCTTATTTTGTTTAATAAAGTAACCTAGTCAGTGTAGATCTTAAAAAGCTACGGTTATGATCAAAGTCCTTTTGAACTTCATGAAAATAGCTACTACAAATAAGATAAACAACTTTCTATGAAGAGAATATTATCGCCTGTAAGGGCGCCAGTTGACAGAAAAAATCACTGTTCGCTAGATTCGTTCTAGATCTTTTTGTGTACAAATCTCCTTTATTTATCTATCATTGTTTAATGCGTTTTCGCTTTCAACAATAAAGTTTTTCTCTATATGATAAAGGTGACTATCACTTTCATTAACTTACTTAAACTGTACAGCACAAATTATATATACATATATATATGTAGGTAGTTTCAACCAGTTTTAAATGACTCTAAGGGGAGTATTATTTGATTACTGCTCATATTCTTCCCATTTAGCTTAATAGTTATGCTTCAACACTAAGAAGCTTCCAACTGAATCCATTATGAGTCGGTGACCACTCAGTGTTTACCATCAATTCCTTCAAAAGCTCAGGTGTGATTTGAATAGCTTAACAGTAAATTCTTTCAAATCTGTAATGACTGATTTTTCGTTGAATTTTCAGAAGAAGTCGAGGTCAAGCAGTTCTCCTTGTTGACTGATTTCTAAAACTGCATACATAAGTACAGTATTCTGTAGTGACGTCTTGATAAATTTTCTTAACATGTAACAGTAAGCAATAGGTATCAGTTTCATCAAAACGATGCACTTGGATATTAAATAACACAACTCTTGTAAAATTTAATGGTTCTATCGTTAAACTTAAAAAGCACATAAACAGGAACTGTTAAAACACAATAATATATGCTGATTTCTTTACCTAACAAACCACTTACAAGTGCTAACAACTGAATCAATATAAGTATGAGAACATTGTAAACCAGGATATACTTTTATCAGGTAACACTATACTGAACTTCGTTCTTGGTACACATTTTCTACAAGACTTGACAAATATATTTTTTATATTTATCTGACCATTTATCAGCAAATTCACTGTCCCCTTAAACTATTCTAATCAAATCTATTTTGTAGCTAATGGAATTAGAAATTTCCAAATTTCGAATAAAGTTGACTTCACGTCAACTTTCTATGGATACAGCTTTGAATTTTTCGCAATACATGCTATGCTAAATTAGGTATCTTGACAATGAAAGTTATTTTTCAGCATTCCATTGTGGATAAAATTTATTTAGATAAAGTCTCACAGTGTTATACGGTAATATTTACTGATAACGTGTCGAGCATAATTCCTTGCTCATAATCATGTCAAGATACTCACACAACTTTCCAGCTTCGTTTATTTGACTCCACTTTTTTCATCTCCTGATTTGACTGGCAGAGGGGCTGTCTTTAGCATTGGGTCTAATTTGACAATATAAGACTGAAAATCTATATCTTTAGTAATTACTGGTGAAAGGTTTTCAGAGGCTGAGGGTGTTGACGTTCACGCATAGTACGATTTATACCAACTCAAGATCTAATACCCACAACTTCTATAGTATTCGTTCCACGTAGACCAAGGACAAATCAAAACACCAAAGTGATCGCTCAAAATACAAAGTATATTTCGGGACAAAGTCGTAGTGCGAAGATGACTGCTTAACTAGCTAAGGATCGTGCTCGAACGAATGAACGTAACACGACGACGTGCCAAATAGCGTGGATGCTTGACCTCAAGCTTTCAGCTGAACAAGTCGACTTAAACAATGAGGGTCAGCATCCAATGTTCAATGGTGAATGATGTGGCTAATAATTTTGGGAAAGTATCTACCGATACGGGTTCTTTAGTTCTCTACAACTTTCTATACGCGAAGACGTTTACGATAGTCTTAGATTCATCATTTATGCTATTTTCTACCGTCGAGTAAACCTGGATTTTATCGGCGAAGCATAGAATTTAATTGTTTAATCTAGACGATCCAGTACAATAATACACCTAATCAGCTTCCTTTAAATAACTATATTTAGTTGTAAGCATATATTAAATATACATGTATTAGATTGTAGATAGAACAAATGGTATTAACAACAAAGGTCATAAATTGAAAAAAGTTTCCCGTGGTTCACAACAGCGATGACCCGCGAGAGAGATATTGTTCAGAATATACATTAAAATATGACAGACTTCAAGAGAAAAAGTATAAATTAAAAATGCAAAGCGTAACCGGCAGTGAGAAAAACGCCTATGCATAATTTTAAATGATGTCAAGCTTGGTAACTTATTCAACTCCCATTTTTTATTTTTTTATTCCTTTACGTTCCCAATGGAACTTTGGGCTTCAAGCTAGAGGCTTGAAGTTTCTGTAGCAGTGGTGTCTATTTTTACGGGATGGGGTTGCTAGCCTCATACCCAACCTTCCCTCTTTACCAGTCTTATTACTGGTTTAGCGAGGTTAATAAGTGTGTTGGCCGAGGATCAAACCCCGAAACACCTACGTGGTTGGCAAGAAATCTGTTCTACCGACGCACATTCACATAATGGTCCACCCATTAACTGGGTTTAACTTTTCAGGAGAACCAAGCACACCCATTCTTGCTTATTGCGAGACGAGACCAGCACGCAGTATCATCCTGTGGCGCAACCACTCGACAGCCCTCTCTCTCGGTGAACCAGCTCCCACTGGTGTACATTTTTAATTCATATATTTTTTTAAAACAGCTTAGAGTAGAGTTTTTATGTGCATTTTTTAAAGCACTGAGGGCATATATTTATCTTTTGGTTCACCATTTGCTAATATTCCAAAAGAAGGGAATAGATATTATATTCTTGTTTCATTATGAAAGATAACCAGTTTCCAATACTGGTAAATGAAATTGCATAGCTGTAAAGTTGAGAATTATACGAGAGAAAAGAAGATCGTAAATCAGAGAATTTAAAACCCATTTTGTATTTCCTTCAAAAAGACTTGTAAATGTTTATTCTTAAGAAACTTCGTAATGATATGCATAAGATGAACTGTTTGTATTGTATGTAGTTGATAATACAAAGTACTGACTTATATTTTTCCACAACTCCTAGTAATATCGGTAATAAAGTTACGTCTGTTTGTTTTATACAAATTAAGAGATTCAAGTTTATTAAAAATGAAGTTAAGAAATACAGGTTAATCAAGTTTTATTATCATTATTTCATTGGGATCCAAGTGGGACGATGAGGCTGCATTGTGTTCCTCTGAAGTCTTTTTTATCTGGCCCCACCAGTGAGCATAAGCTTACATCTTCTCCTCTTCCATGTCACCCTCAGACGCCAAACTCGTCGTTTCCCACTGGCTTCTACTCGTCGGTCTGGTGTGTGATGTCACTCAACTGTCTTCTCAGCATATATCTGTGGGCGATAGGTTCACGGTTGGTTCTTTTCCAGAGTTCTTTGTTGCTAATCCTTCTTGGCCATCTGATCTTCAGTATGGAGCTAGCGAAGGCAGCTGTTGATGAAAGTCTGCAGGGTGTTGGAAATGATTTTCTTGACGCATCAAGTTTCTTTCTGACATAACACTGACGTTGGAAATCCGAATTCTCTTCTTTATACTGAGTGTAACAGATTTCCATGCTCATTTCAGAGTAATGAGCGCCTGTCTTGCTTTCCTAATCATGGCTAGCTTTGACGTCCTCATCCGTGCCGCACGAAGTTTTATAAATAAACCTTTAAAATTATGGTTTGAAGTGTTATATCAAGCTAAGGAAATTATTTAGGAGGTTTATAGTTCAAGTGGATGATTCTGTTGTATTTGTGTTATCTAATCATCAGGGTTTAATAATTATGAAGCATTCATAATCGTCGGTGGCATAGTGGTTAGGACTCTCGCCGACCATGCACATGATCCGGGGTTCGATCCCCTGCCGACGCACACCTGATATCAATGATCGGTGTGCTAAATTTGGGCTACCGATATCACATGCTGAAAATTCCATACTTGCACCAAAAATATGGTGTGGAATCAAGCTATAATCAAAAATAAATAAATAAATAAAAATAAATAAAAGAAATCTTTGTAGACAGCATCATCTTGAATGTTTTTCGGTTAAACCCTTCAGTTCAGAGAACGAAGCTACCCTAAAATACGAAGCTAATTTAGGCTGACACACATGGTGTTATTATAAATTAATATGACTAGTGCAAAAGCAAACTGTAGACGCACTTTTCCAACACTTTACATTAGAAAACTATTAATACAGAAGATGAAAGTTTGAAAATCACATCGTCATCAGTCTTAAAACGAAAGTAAAGCTAATAAAGGCATGACATTACGGTTATCCGAAACTTTAGGCGAGAATGGAACAGTCTATTCTAAGCCATTTCACCTAAAGTATTGCTAGCCATCCGAAATACCGCGGTTCGTATCAAGGCAAAGTACATTCTAATACGCAGTCTACAACAAGAATCGACGACATTATGAGTTTTAAACTCAACTAAGCCTTGAAAGCCTTAGTTTTATCCAATCCAGTACTACGTCTAGCCCTTAATCTAGGTTTCGTGCGTCTTAGCATCCGTCAGCAAGGTATATTTGAGTTCTTTAAGGGACTCATGTCGCTTCCAAAAACGAACCCACTGAGCTATTAAGGCTGACGACTGACATTCTGTAGGACTGTAATGAATACATTGATTGATCGCTAGGGCGTAACCAATGTCATGCATCTAGTTCTTGGTGTTGGTGCAGACTGAATTCTATGAGTAAAGTTTGTAGACTAGTTGGAACATCAGGCAGGAATCACGAAGACATGCATTAAGAAAATGTCCCATCTAACCTAGGCAGTAAGTAGATGCTTACAGTCCCACTAACAAAGTTATGATTTTCCATGAAGTGTTTTCACTCTGATATTTATAAGTGTGTGCATTTATATGCATTAAATAATGTCGCCAAAGCTATTTAATTCGGATAGCTGATAAAACAACACGAAACTCTATATACTCTAGATAATGAGTTATAAAAATTAGCTCCATTTCACTAGACATGAGACAAGATGTTTTTGGAAAGATAAAAATGAAAAACGTGTCAGATAATACTATTTTTGTTTGAATGGCTGAAATGGAATTATAGACTGCCAAGTTACTGAAACTTACTGCTCAAGTAAAAGAATCACTGTCTTGTGCAAACAAATATTCTGCTACCTCGCATAATTTCACAGCTAACAGATTCTATATCATTATTAAGAATTCCCGAGGTACTTTCCGTTTGACTGATATGTTTTGTAGTAATGGTGCAATACACGAAGGTTCGTGAAAGCCTGAATCTCTGGATTACTAAGATTGCATTATATTGGTAAAACAACTCAGCCATAAACTGATTTTCACTTTTATTTCAGAAAATTAGGTTTTCATCCAGCCATCATTTCACACATACCAGGTTATTCAACTGCATCTACCTTAAATATTCTCAGTAAAAGAGAGAGATACTGACTCCACTTGTCTATTTCAGTAGATTATGAATTGATATTGAAAATTTATATACTGATTACACTAGCCAACTAGTGGTGTCCGTCAGGGATGCCCATTATTCCCATTTCTATTCAATTTCATCATAGATATACTAATGGACTTAACCTAACTCACTTCAGAGACTCAGGGATTGACTTGCTACCAGGGAATAATCTCGTTGACTTAGAATATGCAAACGATATTGTCCTTCTAGGAGAGGACGCTGACAAAATGCAGAGTCTACTGAACACCTTGAGCAACAATCTTCGTATGTTTGGCATGCGATTCGCCCCTTTAAAATGTAAGATGATGCTGCAGGATTGGACTTCACCGACCGCTAGATTAGAAATAGGATTGAAGTGGTAGAGCACGTTGACCGCTTCACTTATTTGGGAAGTACCATCAGCCCCAACGGGTTGATCTCCGACGAAATCTCAGTACGGATACAGAGGGCTAGTTTCGCATATGCCAGTTTACACTGCCTCTAGTGTAGACGTGATATCTGACTATTGACCAAAGGGCGGGTGTACTGCTTGGTAGTATGATACGTCCTCCTTTATGGCTGTGAGACCTGGCCATTGAGAGTGGAAGACATGAAAAGGCTAGCCGTCTTTGATCATAGGAGCTTGCGTTCTATCTCCCGTTTGAAATGGTATAATAGGGTGAGCAATATTGAGGTTAGGCAACATTCGAGTGCTAGGCAAACAGGGGAAATCAATCGACGGAGCTGTGAAGCTACATAGACTGAGATGGTTAGGACATGTGTTACGCATGCCTAGTCATCGCCTTCCTCGACGGGTAATGTTAGCTGACATAGAGTCAGGCTGGAAAAGAGCTATCGGCGGTCAAACCAAAACATGGCTTCATCAATCAATGGAATCCACAACAGTTAGTTTAAGCCAGCCACGTAGGAAGGTGTAGACTTCCTGGTTGGGGTCCTTGGGACGGTAAAAACCAACGGCTGGAGACAGTCGGTGAAATGGCTCAAAATGGTTCTCAATGGCTGGTGCAGATACATCCACTCCTTGTTACTTATGATTTCCAATGAGACTATATTGCTCTTCGTTATTACTATTCCTTCTGTTTCCCATCCCTGTCTACTGTCTCTGTTATACATTTCTTCTACTTTTATCTCTTGCTTTGTGTGCTACATGGAGTGTGGCGACTTGAACTGCTACACATCAGTTCAAAGTTCTATGTCGAAAACAGACAGATTACACTAGTATCACAAGTGATTCGTAGAACCTGGGTAATTTCATTGATCACATATGAGCAATATCACTAAGCATTATTAAAATATATTTTCTTAACATTTGATGTCTGAAAAATGAAAACTTTCTTAAACAATTACAACTACATGTTTAGTTCCAAAATGGATAATATTTAGTTCGATTGCTAGTAAAATCTGTTTGAAAGAAGAAATTCATAGAAAATAAAAAGAAGTTATGCGAAATCTGCAGTAGATTTGAGCAGTTCTCACTCAGAATAATAGAGACAATTATGGGGTGGGTTTGCTAGCCTCATGTCTAACCTCCCCTCTTATCCCAACTGACTAACTGCTAGGTGAGTTTTAGGAGCGCGTCGAGCGGGAATCGATCCTAGGATCAAGAGTGTGTTCGCCGAGTACTCATTCGCTCAGCCACTGACAATGAGAAATATGAACTAATATGGAATTACATATCGCCATTTTGTCTAAATTTTACTTAAATCTCATAATTTCTTTTATTGTTCTGAAATTTTCTTCTATTTGAAGACATGTCCATCACAACCATTATCTGATTACTATTCTCAATTTGCAACACTACATCCATTAGTTGGTACAACTGTATGGGCTTTAAATTCTATAGACGTGTCAGAGAATCAAACAACTGATCAACTTGATCATAGTTATTTCAAACAAAAACCTGGACAAGCATTGCAAATTTTCACCCTGAATAATATAGATGAAAATGTATCTAATGAATCTCCAATACATTTTACAGTACAATGGGATAATTACTTACATAAAGATGACGGTAATAGCGATATTATTTATGTGGCTACAAGTAAGTTATTCGTTTCTTAGTTTATGTTTATAACTAAAAGTGTTTCTTCTTATTATTATATTATTGTTCCCTTGGGTTCCTAGTGGAACATAGGGCTTCAACTGCACTCCTCCACTTGCTTCTGTCTTCTGCTGTACTTTTCACCTGCATCCATGTTAGTCCATACTGTTTCAACTCCTCTTCACACCATCTCCTCCATGTCACCCTTGGACGTCCCACTCGTCGCTTCCCTTTCGGCTTCCACTCGAGCTATGGCCTGACGCGCGATGTCACCCAACGGCCTTCTCAGCGAGTGTTCAATCCATCTCCTCTGTCTCCTGCATATTTGTTGGGCGAGTGGTTCTTGTTTTGTTCGGTTGTTCCCATAGTTTCTTGTTGGTGATTCTTTCCGGCCATCTGATCTTCAGTATACAGCGAAGACGGTTGTTGATAAACGTCTGCAACAGGCTGTTGGAAATATTCTTTGTGACCCACCAATTTTCTGATTCATATATAGAAGAACTGACTTGACGTTTGTATAACTAAAAGTGTTTCTTATTGCTTTGATTTTATTAATTCATGACATTAAGGTGTTCAAGAAGTAGTTTAACTAGTGATAATCATGCTTAGAATAATGATGAAATGTTTAGGAAACGAAACTGAAGCCCCAAACATACAAAATATGTTGATACTTTTACCTTTTTAAAAATCTTTCAATTTTATCAACTAATGTATGTGTTGTGAATGACTTTGCTTTTAATTCTACTTCGGATTTACCAGCTTAACGTAGGTATAATACAGTGAGTAACAGAATTCCCACTGGATTACAGTGGTACCAATCTACGAATACATAAGAAACTGTAAGGCATTCGGTTCATTTCTGAGCTGTGTTACTTCTGGCCATTTCCTTATCGAATTCGGATGACCTATGGCCTTTCACATAACCTGAACGATAAACCAGTTATTGTTGTTTGTTCCTGGAGATTTCAGAATTCTACATCTGTTCTAGAAATCGATATATCAGTAGTGCTTATGTGGGGTATTTAATAGCGAGCTCGGTAACAGAACAAATATTAGATTAAAAATCCAAGTTAATAAAATGATAGTGTAACAGTATATTATAAAAAAATACAGTTAGCTAGTTATATAAATTAATGGTTACTTGGCTATACAGGTAAAGTCCACCGATACAAATTACTTACATAATCCACAGAAGCGTTCACTGCTGGAGTTGTGTCTGCTAGTAGAAGCCGTGTACCGGTTGTAGAATAGTCTTCGAATGAGAAATTCCTGCAGAATCGAAAGCAGTGAATCAAGCAGACAGTATGGATTAGTGAGAAGACGAAGCCTCGATCAGTACACTGTATTTTAGATTGTACCCCAAAGTTATGTACTACGTTTCCATTTTTAACATCTAACAAAAAGCAGTACAATCATACTGTTCCAGACTTCACACTTATACCATCTCACTGAATACAGATCAACATCCAGATTGAGTGATTTATAGCTTTTTAATTAAAACAGAGATGACGTTAAAACTACTGTTTAAGCAATAAGAGAGTCAGACGGTAATGATTACAGGATATCTCTTTTGATTACTTATTGCTTCAAAGCATAGTTCTCAAGCCTAAAGCAAAATAAACGCCGGATTTCTACTATTTTTAATCTAACTGCTACTACTACTCCGCTTGACCCAATATAGACATTAAACTCTAAGTTGGTAATTTGAACTATGAAGAGCTTCTTGACTTAAACAATTCTCGCATTTACAGTATTGCAGGAATTCTCATATTTCCTTTACATAAGCAAATGGCCCTGACGATATCAGTTTATTTTTGACGAGTTACTTTGTTGCTGCTGTATTTTGACTAAACTAGCATACACGTATATTCTAGTACTTCTTCGCGTTTATGATTGTGACCTAACGTTGCGATTACTCGACGTCCACAACGTAATTCAAAAGGCACTTGCGAAGGAATGCGATAGTGTATTATTGCAGCAATCAACAATTCAAAAATCGAGCGAGTACAAAAGTATCAATTGTTAACATGCAAGATTTAGAGTAATAAACAAATCAAAGTACAATTACATAGTGAAAGTATACTGCGATGATGAGTAATAAAACGGGTCACTACAATAGCCCCTCCGTAGAATGCAGGTAAATGAAGTTTACCTGTATTCGGAATGATATTGTAAATTATAATTACAGAAGAAATATATACGAGTTTCTGGTATGAAAACCGAATTGAGGATTTTAAGTTTTTGATGTTTGATAATAAAACTGTATATATGCAAAAATGTTAACTTCGAAACGAACCGAAATATTTAGAAAGTTTTGCAAAATGTAACAATAAAACCAGAAAAATTATTAGAATAATAATGGGGTTGTTATTGTAAGGAGTTACAGAATAGATTTATATCTTAACATGCAGTTAATAGTATAGTAATAAGGAAGTATGGGAATGACTTGGGTAAACATTCAGTTACCTCTATTTCCATGAAAGCTGGTTGTACAAGTGGAATTGTGCAAGAAGAGATGGCTGTGCCAGAGAAGAGTGCAGCAGTAGCTGCTGATACGGTTGAAAGTGAACGTCCGTCAGTATGTTGTTGTTGTTGCTGGGGTGTTGTTACTCGGCGTTGAGGAGTAACTTGAATTGATGTTCGCTGAGGTTGAAGAGTAGAAGTTGGTTGATTGAAAGCCATTCCAACAAGAGCAGTTGGCATAAACTGTGGTAAACTAGTGATTTGAATCAACTGACCGTTAGGACCAACAGCCATGACTTTTAATGGAGCTCCTGGTGCCAGAGTGATAAACTGGGGAGTAGCATAGGAGCACGCAGCTACAGTACAAGTTTGACCACTGACAGAGACGTCAGTTGCCATCATTGTTGCTTGTTGCTGATGTTGTTGGATATAAGCTTGCTGTTGAGCTGGTTGTAACTGATGAGCTTGTGCTTGAATCTGTTGTTGTTGAGGTGATTGGGTAAACTGTTGTAATTGAACAGCTGTAGGACCGGCTTGAGTAAATGGAGTTGCAGACCATTGTAAGAGTGTTTGCACACCTGTAGACAATGCTGAAGCTTGAGGACAGAGAACTGGAATTGAGGTGTTGCATAACAGCCAGCTGCTACAGCTGCTTGAGTATCAGGGTGAACTGGGATAGCAGTCGCTGTGCTACCACGTCCGGAGGTACTTTTAGCAGAAACATCAGTAATTATACATCCAAATGTTATGAAGTTATAATAGTTAATGCGATGGCAAAGATGATTTATTCCACTGTGTATACTTCGAAATGATGTAGTCCATCAATCAGCTATGTCGGGGTCAACAATTGTTGCTGCTATTTTGGTTGAACTAGAGTACACGTATCTTATGGTATTTCCTCGCGATTATAATTGTGCCCTAACGTTGCGATTACTCGACATCCGCAACGTAATTCAAAAGGCACTTGCGAAGGAATACGATAGTGTATTATTGCAGCAATCAACAATTCAAAAATCGAGCGAGTACAAAAGTATCAATTGTTAACATGCAAGATTTAGAGTAATAAACAAATCAAAGTACAATTACATAGTGAAAGTATACTGCGATGATGAGTAATAAAACGGGTCACTACAACTTTACCACGACCATGGTGATTTGTTAGTATGAAAAATTATGTAACCGAAACTTTCGTTTCAGTCACTTGTTCTACACACTATTTAAGCCTGATAACCACATTTAATTGACACAAAAGTCATACCCTAAGAGATACTCTCAGCCAGCAAATCTCATGAATTTCACTTGTTACCACCAATATATCGCTAATAGTTAATATATGAAAAATGTAGTTAATTTATCAAAATATGTTGAAATCACCGAGTATGAATTATGTATAATTCAAGACTGTTAGTCTGCGCTTGAACAGCATTTTAGAATTCCTCAAATTTCTTAAGCAGTGCTGATTCGTTTCTTATTTGTCTGTCTGGCTAAATTAAAACCTACATCACAGTAATTGTAGTGACAGTATTCCTTTTAGAGTTGTTTAGCTTTTGTGGTGGCTTCTAAGAATATCCTAGAGACTAGATCTGTCTTACACTAATTTATCTCTTAAGACCGCTTTTCGTCACAAAGGCTTCTGGCAAAGTTTTCTCTCAAACTGTCTCTGAAGTGATAATTTCACAAGAAGAAGTCAGAATATTCCATGATAGAGTAAATTTATTTGATAAATGCTCACAGTGATGCAGTATTATTTACTGATGACGCCTCTAGCACAATTTATTGCCCCTATTCGTATCAAGGTGCTCACATAACTTTCAAACTTCGTTTACATAATTCTATTGCTTCTTATCCTTTGATTTTATTGACAGTAGTATTTCCTATGTCTTGTGGTATTGGCGTTAAGTAATTCCAATTGTACGCGTTACATGTAGACTAGATGAACAAAGATTCAGTAATTAACATCTCCCTCTACCTACTTATCTTACTTTTCAGAACTGTAGCTCTACCCCTCCCCCGGCTTATTGTATGATTGTGTGTTAAGGTATGCATTACAACTACTGAGTTTTTCTCTAAACTATTCAGATACTATTCAGGAGTCAGTCATCCTATACTTCTCTAAATTCTTATATCTCGATAATCTAACTACGCTCTACCTACTGGTCTGATCTATGTAGTTGACCTGATAGTCATTGCAATGTATTTTATAGACTACATTATTTTGTCTAATTGCGTCAATAGAGTCCTTTAACCTACAGAGCTTGTCCTGCCTGAGTGGGTTTGTAGGTTTAAATGCCACCTTAATTCCTGCTTTCTTAAGAATCTTACTTAGGGTTTCAAATGCCCTTCCTTATTCGTTGAAACTATTGATTCCTTAAGTTCTTTCTTATTAATGTCATGGTCTGATTTCCCACAAACTGGAAGATATGCAAGCGAAAAGCAACAAGTTGGCAGAAGAAGCATTCAGGGAAGGTCAGACTTCAGGTGAACATAGAGAAGACAGAGGTGATGAAGATTCCCGGGCAACACCACCAACAGCAACAGACAACAATCAGCATAAATGGGAGGAACCTGAAAGAAACAATCTCTTTTACGTACCTGGAGGCATCGTTTCAACTACAGGCCGACGGAACTGACGAGGATATCAAAGCAAGAATTGGAAAAGCAAGACAAGCTTTCACTACTCTCAAGTCTGTGTGGAGGTCAACAGCACTACTCAGCATCAAAAATAAGATCCGGATTTCCAACTCCAATGTGAAGTCAGTGCTACTCACTATACGGATCAGAGACTTGCACTGCGCGTCATAAAGAGCATCTCAAACAAACTACAGACCTTCATTAACAGTTGTCTTCGCTCAATACTTTGCTCAAGATCAGATGGCTGGTCAGAAAAGATCAGCAACAGGGAGGGATCTCTGGCAATGAGCGAACCAACCCAGCAGGAACCGATTGTGAAACAAATAGGCAGGAAGAAATGGAGATAGATTGACTGGCCATACTCTGAGAAAACCATCAAGTGACATCACACGCCGAGCCATTGCTCGAGTGGAACCCGAAAGGGAAGCGGCGAGTTGGTCGTCAGTGCAAGGGTGACTTGGAGGAGGTCATGTGAAGAGGAGATGAAAACGTGTGGGCAGACTTGGAGCCAGGTGAAGACTCTAGCGGAGAACCGAACGCAGTAGAGACGCACGGCTGAAGCCCTATGTTCCTCTAGGAATTAAAAGATACAATAATAATAATAATAATGTTATGGTCAGTAGTCCTACTGCTATTTTTCTTTTTCTTATGAGATTTTGTGAGATCCAGGAAATATTACTACCAATAGAATCAAGGGATAAGAAATAATGGGATTATATAAACGAAGTTTGAAAGTTCTATGAGTGTCTTGATATGATTGTGAGCAATAAGCGTCGTTATCAGTAAATGATACCGTATCATTGTGTGCTTTTACCAAATAAATTTACTCTATTTTGGAACAATACCCCACCACATTGAGTTGGTGGCACAGCGGTTAGGACACTCGTCAACCCTGCACATGGTCCGGGGCTCGACCCTCGGTTGACGCACACCTGATATCAATGGTTGGCCTGCAAAATTTGGGCTACCGATATCACATGCTGAAAATTCCATAATTGTACCGAAATACTGTGTGGAATCAAGCTATAATAAAAAGAGAAGTTCTATTCTTATGTCAAAATACTCCAACTTGGTATATCGACTAGACAAGTGTAGTTATAGGATGATGTTTGGCCTCAACACGAGGTTTATTGACATTAACTTGCTATAAATAATTGTTACCTTTTATCATCAATGAATAATTTTGCATTTTAGATAAAAGAAAAATCTTCACAATAAAAACTGGTATCAGTTTACAGAAACAAATTGTACACAGTGAAAGTATCACCTCTGAAACATACATGGATAAATTTACCATAAAGAATTATTTTATCAAAAAGAGAACAAATCAAAATTTTCAAACTATGGATCAATTTCAAATTGTTGACAGTGATTATTCAATTATATCAATTCATAAATGTAATACAAGCGATAGATTATCTGTGAACATGCAACCAGTTGGTCATACGAAAACGTCACGACAGACAAATAGCCTTGATTTTAACCAGAAGACATTTCCACAAAATAAAATAATCATCAGTTTTCATCCTAAATCAGTCATTTGTGAGGCTTACTATTCATGCAGGTAAGGTGAAGTGCACTAAATTTCATCTATATAAACTTTTCAGGATGGTTGGTAGAATCCTTAAGAAATTATAAACACATGTGCCTAGAGATTTCAGAAAATCGTGTTTCCTGTCGGGTTCTTAACTAATGTTACTTAAATGTCTCACCATACTTCCATTTCGGTGTTTCATTACTCTCCATAATGGTCATGTCGAAATTTCCATCAATAATTAAGACCAGATATTAATTTTTAGTAGTCATTTATCAGTGAATATATTAAATGATTGATAAATAGCCTTATTATTATTATTGTTTCCTTTAATTCCTAGAGGAACATAGGGCTTCAGCCACAAGTCTCCATTGCGTTCGGTTCTCTGCTAGAGTCTTCACCTGGCTCCAAGTCTGCCCACACGTTTTCATCTCCTCTTCACATGACCTCCTCCAAGTCACCCTTACACTGACGACCAACTCACCGCTTCCCTTTCGGGTTCCACTCAAGGGCTTGTCTAGTGATGTCACTTGATGGTTTCCTCAGAGTATGGCCAGAGTCCATCTCCATTTCTTCCTGCCTGTTTGTTTCACAATCGGTTCCTGGTTGGTTCGCTCATTGCCAGAGATCTCTGTTGCTGATCGTTTCTGGCCGGCCATCTGATCTTGAGGGTTATTGAGCGAAGACAACTGTTAATGAAGGTCTGTAGTTTGTTTGAGATGCTCTTTATGACGCGCAGTGCAAGTCTCTGATCCGTATAGTAGCACTGACTGACTTCACATTGGAGTTGAAAATCCGGATCTTATTTTTCATGCTGAGTGCTGTTGACCTCCACACTGACTTGAGAGTAGTGAAAGCTTGTCTTGCTTTTCCGATTCTTGCTTTGATATCCTCATCAGTTCCGTCCTCCTGTAGTTGAAACGATGCTTCCCAGGTAGGTAAAGGAGGTTGTTTCTTTCAGGTTCCTTCCATTTATGCTGATTGTTGTCTGTTGTTGTTGTTGTTGCTGTTGGTGGTGTTGCCCAGGAATCTTCATCACCTCCTTTCTCTATGTTCACCTGAAGTCCTGTCTTCTCTGGATGCTTCTTCTGCTAACTTGTTGCTTTTCGCTTGCATATCTTCCAGTTTGTGGGAAATCAGACATATATCATCGGCGAAGTCCAGATCCTCCAAGTTCTTTGTGTGAGTCCATTTTATGCCTGTTCCCTCATTGCCCGCTGTTTGTCGCATTATCCAGTCTACTGCAATCAGGAAAATCATTGGCGATAGTAGGCAGCCTTGTCTTACTCCTGTCCTCACTTCGAGTGATTCCGTAAGTTTCCCGTTGCGGATTACTTGACATGCAGCATTGTCGTGCAGCTGTTGGATGAGATGTATAATTGTCGGTGGCACCCCGTAGTAGCGAAGTAGTTGCCAAAGCACCTCTCGATCGACGCTGTCGAATGCCTTTTCAAAGTCGATGAAGTTGAGATAGAGAGGTGATAAATAGCCTTACCGTCTATTTAAACCATGATGATTAGTGTTCAGCACTGAACTGTAACTGAATGAAAATCCGTTATTGACTGACTGTGACTAAATATTAGATAAGAAAATACTAGTTATCAAAGACATTCCTACATTTTATGCAAACAATCAGGACAGTTGCTGAAGGAAAATGAATTCTGTTGCAGTTTTCAACTGATGAATATGTATCCATCCGAAATCAAAAATCCACAATATTTTCAAATATTTGTTGAAAAAAAGAAGCAACTTATTGAGTAGTTGTAGGTTTCACTTAATTCTTGATATAAGTATAAAACTTGGGCACTGTGGTAGAGTATAACTCCATTATAGATAAGATTTCATTTTGATGAATCACACAGTGTTATACAGTAATATTAACTGATGACGTTTCGAGCACAAATTATTACTGCTCATAATCATATCAAGTTCTGGTTTTCGTTGACTGAATTCATGGTGCTTACAGTTTCATTGACAAATATAATCTGTGTATAAGTAAACTGCTTTTGTATTGAAGATTTAATCTGATATTTTGGAGAAGTGAGGAAGAGGTACACACTTATAGAAATTTGTCATGTTGTGCGTATTAAACACAAACCATATATATATATATATATATATATATATATATATATGTCATCGCTTGCTTTCCATTGGGAATATATGACTTCAGCACTACATCCTCATTCCACTCGGTTCACTACCACTGTGGTGAGCGCTACTTACAATCAGATATAAGTAGTATATGAGTAAACGAATTCAGGAAAGTAACAATATGTTTTGGGGCACTGAAAAACGCAGTTGAAGAAGAGTACTGTGAGAAGAACGTTAAAACACTGTGCAGAATCCAACAAGCTAACGAATGTGGTGATACTCGACCAATTTGCAAATGATGTATACATTAATGTACCTACAATGCCTTCGAGCTCCAACAATCTTTTCTCCTTTACACCATCACTTCAACTGGCTCCATGACCGCATTCCAGCTTTCTCCTCCACTTCGGCAATGGATTCCAAAACCGTCACTTCCCATTCATGTTCCACTGGACGGTCTCGTATGTGATATCACTCAGCGGTTTCCTCAGCGTCTGTCTAGTCCATCTTCACTTTCTCCTGAAAAGTAGGTTCTTGGCCAGTAATCCTAACTGCCAGAGTTCCTTGTTGCTTATTTTCGTTCTGGTCTAAAGCACTGAGGCAGCAGAAGCAAGTGTTGATAAAAGTCTTCAACCTATTGAAAATGCTTTTAATGACGCATAAACAAAGTCTCAGAACCATACATAACGAGCACTGATTCGGCATTATTGTTGAAAATTCGGGCCTTGTTCCTTGTGCTAGTCGTTGCAGATATCCCAACTGATTTGACTAGTCAACGCCTATCTTGGTCTGCCAATCCTGACTAGCTCCGACATCTTCATCCTTGCCACCTGTAGTTGTGACAATGCTGCCACGGAAAGTGAAAGAGACGACTCCCATTCCATTTCTCCTGTTGATGGTGACTAACGTTTGTTGTTGTTCGTTAGGTAGGGTGATTAAAAAGCTACAATTAAGGAAAATTGGTTCTAGGATATTACAAAAACTTTCGTATACAGAATTTAAAGTTGCCTAGTAATAAATAAGAATTAATGGGGCAGTGTTTAAATTATTTTTAATTCTTGATATTTTATCGACTGTATAATTGTAGTATTACCTTATTATTTGATCTTATTTTAACTTATGATTTTCCTATGTCTTCTATAGAAATTGTCAAGTATCTAATAATCCTATATGTGATTTCAACACAACATCGCGCACATGCCTGCTACATAAGTAAGTTTACATTGTGTTTGTCTTACCAAATTACCGTTTATTGTCAGAACACCAATAGGTTCCAGGCAGGCATATACTGAAGTATCAGACACACGCTAGTTTCTTGTAGTTGTAGTCCACAGATTTTCATTCAAGCTCTGAGTATAGTTGAATTATCAACTGATGGGAGTAAAAGGTGCTCAGGATATTATCAGACAAAATAATAAAAATTCAAAAATAGATCTACATATTAAGTGAATATCAAACGTTAGCTAATGAGTCGTTAATCAATCAAATTCTTATCATCACTTTACAATGATATTTTCTGCCAGTAGTCAGTATCAACCGTAAAACTGTCTGCAACACAGCATTAAAACTTAATCTTTGGCTATTACAAACAGCAGATTGGGTGTTAGGACAAATACTCGCCAGCGATGACATTGGTTAGTGGTCCTGCTATATCGTGAATCGGTAGAAGTTGGGACTCATGGGCTATTTGATCGAGTCCCACTGGCTTAATGGTCTACGAGCTAGCTTGACATGTAACCGGAAGGTCCCGGGTTCGAACTCCGGTGGGTGCGTACCGATGAAGAGCCCCAAACTAGGAGGAAACAGCTATCTAGTACTCCCAGATTTTCCAATGGTTCTCTAACCAATGTCAGCTGATGATGAAATCCTGTAACTAATCAAACCCCGCAAACCAATACATGAATAAAATGAGAATTTATTCTCGAAACATCCTCTATGATTTCCAGTGCAACTGGGTTAAAAAGACACCTGGATCGAATTAGCAGCTTGCAAACTATTCCTCGATTTGCTATTTACGCAGTTCTATGTTAAATTTCAAAACCGGGTACTCTGATGATGCGCTCATCCTCAAATGAACGAAACAGTCGTCCAATGTTTACGTCACTGCCATCCATCTATCAAGCACTACTAATTTCAGTGGTATCCAGCTACTCATGCCAACCAATCAGTAGTACGAAACATTATGAATGGAAGGTTACCTTTTGCATGATAAAAACTGTAATAAAAACAGAATGGCTGGAGGATTTCATCATGAGTTGACATCAGTTACAGAACCATTGGAAAACCTGGGAGTACTGGACAGCTGTTTCGTCCCAGTTTGGGACTCTTTATCAGCTCATGAGAAAATCCTCCAGCCAATCAAACAAAATACCCTACAAAACCAATACTTAAAAATTGATCTGATGCTCACTAGAGAATGGCCCTATTCAAGCAGTTAACCTGGGGTTCTAGTGGGAAGCCGTGACCAGCAGGGTGTAGCAGGTTGAAGATGAGACAGTAACTCATCAAAGAAGACATTGTGAAATGGTCGCGCTATGTCATGAATTGGCCATTGGATCGGGTCCCAGTGGCTTAGTGGTCTACGAGCTCGTCTTGTAACCGGAAGGTCCTGGGTTCGAACCCCGTTGGTGGGTGTGTACTGATGAAGAGTCCCAAACTAGGCTGACGAAACAGCTAGGAGTCCAGTACTCCCTGCAGGTTTTCCAGTGGTTCTCTAACTGATGTCATATCATGATGAAATCCTCCAGCCAATCAAACAAAATCCCTACAAAACCAATACTTGAAAAAACAGAATTATCAAAGAAACGTGCCAGATGACATCATCGTTGTTCGCCTTTATTCTAAACTTAATTTCTCACTTAAGGTACTGGTAGTGTTTTCGGTTAGCAACCCTTTACCAGCCTTACTAAGCGTAGACTGCCTAATTACCCAAAAAATCAGTATTCTACCTAACTTGTAAATACTGACAACAAAACGCAAATCAGAAAGGCTCATTTAGTTAGTAATATGCTCTGATGAGCCGTGTATTTGAATAAAATAAAAAGTTAACATTATTCGGGGAAAAGGGCTTAGAACTTATCTAGCTAGCATGGCTGAAATGTCGACTCAGAGAATGTGCGTGTTAACAGCACAAGGAAAGAGTGCAAAATGGCGTTCGAGCCTATCCAAAATGAGTATCCATTAAAACAAGACTTAAAACACTGGAAGGTGCAATACACTTACTCGTTTATCGCTTACATCAATACCATCAAGGATACTGCTCAATTCTAAGTTCCTAGGAATGATTCAAGTCGAAATTGACAAAACATTCTTGTTAATATTAAGTAATAACAGATGAGTCTTTTGAATACTTGAAGTAACAATTTAAGAATAGTGATTTGCCCAGTATGCTTGTTAGATATAGTTATTACATTTCAGATCTCATGTTTGGATTAGTAACATAGATCTCTGGCAAGGAACTTAACAAGGACCTATTGCCTAACAAAAAGATGCCAAAAGAAATGGAGATGGATCGAAAACACACGCTAAGGAGACAGTTGAGTGACATTGCGCGCCAAGCCGTTGAGTAGAACCTGAACAGGGAACGATTAGTTGGGTCAACGAGGGGGCATATAGAAGGGATGAGAACTTATGGGCAGTCTTGGAGCCAGCTAAAGAGGACAGGATGAAATATAGGTGCGCTGTTGAAGCCCTATATTTCACTCCTGACCTAAGTCAATAATAATAATATTAATAATAATAATTCATCTTATTTACCTTGTCCGTATGTGTGTTGTAATAATAAGAAATTTAATAAGTGAAGAGTAAAATTAATTAATTTGTTTTTCATTTTAGTCCTTCATACGCCTACCTGAATATGATGAACTCTAGTCTGTATCACTTTTGTAAAAATGAATTCTTCACTAGTCAATCAAAACAAGATTCATTCCGTGATGTAACGTGTAAGTATTTTTCTTCTCTGTATATCAATAAGAAAAACAACAAATTTTTGTTGATCTATAAAAGCTGGCCAACACAATTCATTTAGCCATTACTGGATTTTCCTGGTATAGATTGAAAAGACTGGGGAATCAGTTCTGTGGCTCAATAGGAACAACAACCTAATTGGATTTTAGATTTTCCCGTCGATTGATTGGACCGAAGTGCTCAGTCTCAGGTTGACATGTCGGCTTCTTGAGCAGATGCTTCGACGATGTCTGAGAAATGAAGGAACAACAATCGTTCAGGCTTGATATTAATGAAAACAGAAAGACTGAAAGGTTGTAAGGCCTCAGCTTGCTCATTCTAATTTTGGAAATGTACTGAATACACGTTCTTGCCGAGCTCTTCGTTTGCTTACGTCTCTTAGGTGACCATCGGTCCGCTTGCTACAGCTTAAGCTAATAATACTACATAACTGCTCAAATCATAAAAACTGAAATCCGGAACACACTGGTTACAAGACAAATATTTAAATGAATTAGTCCCAGTTCTTTATTGAAAGCAGACTAATTCTTTTCCCTAGGATAAATAATTCATATGTTCTGCAAAAGGATATGTTTATTGCCTATTTCAAACTTCATCCAGTAATTGCTAAAGTTGTTTAGATTTCACGTGTTATGTTCGATTATGAAGATAACGTTTGCAATAATGAATGATGGAAAATCCTTTCTATGAGTTTAAATCAATACACCGTTGACCTCAATATTTTAATACTCTACTTGCATATTCCAATTTTCTTTCTTTATTCTTACTGGTATGTTACAAAAAGCATTAGCTGTGAAATCTCGAATAAATTTACGTATACAACAGGTTGCATGATGCGATAGTTAGTTATTTGACCAGATATCTTAAACTGGTTTTCAATGGTTCGCTAACTGATATCAGTCCGTGATCAGCTCGTAAAAAAAACAACTAATCCTTACAAACCAACTATAGAAAATTAATCTGATGCTTGCTAGTGACTTGCTACAGGACGGAGTTTCCTGGAGTTCTAGTGAGAAGTCGTGACCAATGAGGTCCATCCAGTCACGTGTGAGGATGGATTTCCCACCGACGACATTGGTTGGTGGTCGCTCTAAATCATGAATTGGTAGAAGTTAGAATTCATGGGTTGGCCATTGAATCGGGTCACAGTGGCTGAATGGTATACGAGCTTGCCTTGTAACCGGAAGGTCCTGGGTTCGAACCCTGGCAGCGGGTGCGTGCTGCCAATGATTCCCAATTTAGGATGAAACAGCTGTCCAGTACTCCTTGCTGGTTTTCAATGGTTCTCTAACTGATACAAACCAACTATAGAAAATAAAAATGTAAACATTTTTGTGAGTGAAACAAGTCTATTTCAACAGCTCATGATTGTGTAAGCCATTTACTATCGGCTAGTAAACTAAAAGAGGTTTAAGAGTGCGTCGGTCGGGAGTCAAACCTGTGTGTGTGCGTGTATGTGTGTGTAGCTAGCTAACATTTTAGCATTGAACCACCAACATGAAAGATATATCTTAACGAAAAAAGCAAAACAGACTAGATGAACAAAATGGCTAGCTGGCATAAAAGAATACAGGATAGTTTCATCAAAATAGTGTAAAATGATGCTCATCCCAGTTTATTAAGGGAAAAAGTCTGTTTGTGATAATCACATGTGTTTCAAGTGGACGAATATGTTATCTGAGATTCTAAATTTCCCAGTACTGTAAAGGCTAAATGGGACCCAGAACAAACAAACTCGAGAAAACTATGAAGGCCTCAAGTACGAATGGGAGTGTAATAACCAAATCTTCACCATTGAACAGGTCCTAAAACACAGAGACATTTAGAAATATTCACAACACTTGCCATAATTCTCTATCTGAAGGTTATATTAGACTCTTTTGGTCCTTTCTTATTTCTAGTTGTGAAGTTAATGTTGAAAAAAAATACTGTACTATACGGAACGAAACACTCAAATTATGAAGCCTTAAAACAGATCACAGAGAGTTGTTATCTGAAGTTAAAACATCCAGTGGCGTCCATCAGGGATTCCTGCTATCAAAATTCTTATTTAATTTCATTATAGATATACTGGTGGATTGATTTGTTACCACAAAAATGTCTCCAACTGTAACAACAGAAGACAAGGGCCAGGCAACAGAACGTTTATTACGGAAAATCAACACATATTTATAGATTTTGATGTACATTATTGTAGGTTAATGTTAGTAGAAAATACAGTCTGTTGATTGGTTGTTTCTCACACAAAGTTAACCTTGCATCTCTTGTGGCTGTGTCAGTTCATCTATATGTTAACTGTATCCGCCTGTCCATCTTGACCTTGACCTCAATTACTGTCAACCAATTTGGCTAGCAACCATCTCTCACCACAACATGACTTATATTTGATACATAAACATTGACCTCAATTACTGTCAACCAATTGGCTAGTAGACAGCTCTCACCACACAACTAGTGTCTTCTGGAACCTCTGAAAAAAGAGTTGAGTACATCTGACATGCTCTTCGTTACCGTTAAATATAAGATAATTTGCAGCACTGATCTGTAAACTGAGAGTGAAATGGCTGAATGCACTGACTCGTTTTACTTTTTTGAGAAGTTGCATCACCCCCCACCACCTGTTCCTTCTTTGTTGTCAATATGAAACTGCCCACCAAGAGACATTTGTATTATTCAGCAACCCGTCTTGTTCTTGTTTATTTCGCTGAGATATGACCACTGGCAGAAGACGTGCGATTGCTAAAGGCTCCACAATTATTTTTATTTTGTTTTTGGCGTTTACGGATCTTCCTAATGAATTTTATAGGTTAGTTATTCAACACCAACGCTTCTTCTATCTGTTTTATTTCATCATTTAGGTCTTTTTTGTGCTACTTAGTGCTATGGCTCAGTTTGTTAGACACTTAATTAAGCCTGCCTTAACAGTTAAAGGATGAAACGAATTAAAGTCTAAATATCTATTAGAATGCGTTGGTTTTTTATAAACACTAGTGTGTAGTTTGCCTTCTTCTATAATGTTATCATTAATAGGATAAAAACAGCATAAAAAGATTGCTAAAGGCGTTTGAACATAAGTAACGTTTTTCAGTTGTTGCTGTTTGGTAGAGTATTATGATAAGCAACGTTGTCGTTAGACTTAGAGTGTTAGGCAAGTTAAAAAAGTTAATCAATGAGGCTGTAAAGCTGCATTGATAGGTGCGGCAAGAAGACATATTACACATGATGAGTGCCCGCCTTCTTCTACCAGCAATGTTCTCTGAAATAGAAGTGCACTAGAAAGTATTACTGAATGTCAGACCGAACACTGAATGAATGTACCAAGTCATTGACCAATGGTCTGACAAGCACTCGTATGATGTAATCTTGTGCTAATTTCAATGCTGATTCATCAGCCAGTCATCACTATAAGGTATGGAATTTCGAATAAATGACCAGTGAATTTTATTCTACGCCTATAAATATAAAGTACTTGTCCTATAAGTATACATCACTTAATAACCTTCTTTGAATTTAATTATCTGGAAAATAATGTTGATCCATAAATGAAACAGATTTCTGATTAACTGAACCCCTCAAGATATTAATAATTTTCAAAAGTCAGCTTCATGTTTTTGGATTATCAGCTAGTTTGGCGGTTTATTCACCAGGTGACAATTCTTCTCCTTAAAATATAGATCAAATACAGAATAATGAACACCTGTGTAAGTTCGGCTAAGTTCCTTTTAGAGTAAAGGATTGAGTCAAGACGGTTAAGCTTCTAGGACAAGCATACTGTCATTCAGATACCGGGCCGAAATTCAACAACTCACTTTAGTAAACTTCTTCAGCTGATACCAGCGTATTTAGAAAATGTCATAAGAGTATTACTGACAGACAGATAAATCAAGCATGCTTTTATGACCGACATTTGCTTTCAGAAAAAGCAACAAGATATGTTTCTACACCGTTGAAAAGCACAAAAAAGTTGTGGACTGAAGTTTAGACACATTCAAGTGTATTTGATCAGATTAGTACTTTGTCTCATACCATCAGCTGTTAGAATCTATCAGTAGAATACACCACGTACACAAACAAATGGAAACATGCTGCAATATAAAGGGGTGGTTGTGATTTACTGATAATGTAATACGCATAACTACTTTCTCTCTACAATCAACTGTCACATCGGAAGTCTTTAGATGTTTAGTTCAAGAAGGAGTTAGTCGTACATTGTAGTATGGACTTCTTGATTCAAAAAAATAATTCAAATAAATAATTCAAAAAAAATTCAACTCTCAGTCAGACTGTTCCAAATTAAATAACTTTCTCTCGGAAATTAGTCAGTGGTCCTCTTCAAACGGTCTTAAGCTGAATCCGTCTAAATGTCAGGTAGTAAATTTCACTTTCAGACGAAAACGTGACCTACAACAACTAGCTAGCTCACATGGTCCCACTATCATTGACGGCATAGAGGTTGAAACTACATCTAATGTCAAGTACCTTGGACTGAGTATTTCCTCCGATCTTTCCTGATCCTCTCACATCTTGCTAGTTACTAGAAAGATGTTTCGCTTAACGTCCTACATTAGGAAATTAAGGCAGTCTGGTATAAAGCAGTCCTTGCTTTCTCAGTTTATCAATTCTTGTATTCTAACCATCCCTCTTTACTGCTCCCCATTAATCTTTCTTGGACTACTTAAGAAAGACTTTGCTTCGCTGCGTAGGGCACTAAAAGCTGTTAGTAGGGGAAGTGGGATTTCCTTAAACCAACTGGTTAACACCATTGTGGATAGACATGTAATATCATGTAAGAAACTAGCGAATTCTATATTATCAGACCCCGAACACCCTCTCTATACGCAGCTCTCTCCTTGCATTTCATCTGGTAGAACTAGAAGCAACTATAGGAGGCTATATGCTAGGACTACCAAGTACAGAAACTCCACAATACCTTATCTGGCACAGCTGTTATGTGATGAGAAATCCGTTAGGTATGACACGATCAACTTACTGCGGCACTCTAACAATTAGTCCCATTAGTTTTTGTTTTCCTTTCTTCGTTACTATTATATTGTTGTTCACATCTTCTATTACACACTAATTTTATATTTCATATCCTGTGGTGCATTGTTTAAATATGTGAATGCAATGCTGTTCTTTTTTATTTCTTTTATTTATCTTTTTTCTTTTTGTAGTTGTTGCTTTTTATTTTTAAAATCTTATAAAATTTATGAGGTAATTAGATGCAATATTGTAATGCACGCTGAAAATTCCATACCTGTACCACAAATACTGTTTGGAATAAAGCTATTATTATTATTAAAATAAAAATCATTTTTCGTACTCTATTTCTAAACAATTCGATAATTCATGTCAGATTTTCATTTGTACAAGCTCACCAAGAAGTTATTATTTTACCATTTTAGATGAATCCCACAGTAGTGGAAATATTTCTTCAAAAAGACAAATTAAAAAATTCAAATTCTACAATAATGAATTAGGACTAATCCAAGTTGATCATCAGTCGACCTTACCGATGATAAATACAAAAGTGAGCAGTAATCAAAGTAATGACAGTGAAAAGGATGACAATAATAGTCATTTTGATAGTAATAATGATAATAATAACAACAATAATAAGCTATTGCATAATTATGTATTCGTCATTATTCTTGTATTATCAGTTTTTATAATATTCATACCACTCAGCTTAATATGCGGTTATTTAATGGGTAAAAAAGACTATATGAAACAATATAATTTGTATAATAAAGTTAAAGATATGCTTGATTTACTGTACAGTCATCCGCCGCCTCCTCCTCCACATCCACACCACAACCAGCATAATCTCTATCCTTATCCTATATATTATCACGAAGCATCACAATATAACTGTGATGAACATCACCAAAGTCACCATTGTCAGCATCATCGTCATTCAAATAGCAGTAACAATCAAGAGTGTTATCAAAATCATGGAAATTGCCTCACTACTTCCGATGTAAATATGATATATTTGTGTGAACAAGGCAGTACTAATAAAAATGACAATGCTAATGATTTAGTCAATGATCAAATGAGACAGAGTTATGCAACCCAATGCTGTTTCTTTTATGGCTGTCATCCTCCTAGTGAAATGTTGAATAAAAAAACTGCAGTGTATGACTATGCAGTAACAGGTAGACAACAGGCGGCATTAAAAGCAGCCACTTTGAAACACATACCAACTTTTGATCCTATTGGAAATATACATGTCATCAGCGACTGTATGCATACTAAAGATATAAAGTTGAATGAAATAACTAAAGTTAATAGAAATAAAGAATATGTACAAAGAAACAATACATTTCCAACTCCGACGAAAATCTCTTCGCCGCCGGTTTCATCATCATCTGGAACAACATCATATACATTCTCTTCCTGTTATACTAATACCGCTACTTCATCCTATCACGACGTTACACCATTTGATTATTTCATATCATCATCATCACCAACAACAACTTTACCGTCTACATCTTTTAAACACATTCAACCGACTGTGATACTGACAGAGACTAATAATAATAATAATAATACACTTCTCAGTAATTATTGTCATCAAAATTGTTACAACACTAATGATATGGCTAAGAGAACAACAGTAAATTCAAAACCGTTAAAAACAACAACAACCACAACAACATTGTTTGGTCATGGTGGTTTAAAGAAACCAAGAACTAACTAGTCATCATCAGAGTGGAATATTATAAAATGTCATTTTAATATTTTCCTCTTTTTAGTTTTGTATTTCTGTCTGCTTCTTCACTAATTTTTGCTTTCAGCTGTTCCATCCATCTTTTGATTGATCACAAAGTATATATTACATCGACTAGTGCTATTAATTAGTTCTGGTTGTAATTACACACAAAGGTTGGTAGATCATTACATCACTCTTTAGTAATTAAAGAAAATCTTAAGATTGGCTAGTGTTGAAGTAAAACTAAAATATGACAATCTAAAAATACAGAAGACATGACAACTTATTTGTATATATAAACATTGGCGGCTTTCTTATAAAATAAAACATTTTTCTTGTATCGTTTTTTTTTTGTCATCTGTGTGGAATATAGGGCTTCAAAGCTTTGAAGTTTTAGTGGCGTTGGTGGTGTTCTTCAACAGGGTAGGGTTGCTAGCCTCATGTCCAACCTTCCTTCTTCTTCTCTGGACTTACTGCCTCGATTTAGGAGTGCGTCGAACCACCGGACAAAGCGTGTAGATGGAGAGCATCGAAGAAAAATTTCTTATATCATAGGAGATTATAATCCCTGTCACTATACAGTTTACTTAACCAAATGCAAAATATGATGGAATCACAAAATAGTGGCATTCTAAGGAATAGAACAATGTAAGCTGATTTCATGCACATAACTTTAAAAATTATATTAGGAAAGTAAATAAAGACAGACAGTATTTTAAAAATATCTGTTTTGTTTTACATTGTGGCTGCTACCTTTAGTAGTGAGGACAGGGGTAAGACAAGGCTGCCTACTATCGCCAATGATTTTCCTGATTGCAGTAGACTGGATAATGCGAAAGACAAACAGCGGGCAATGAGGAAACAGGCATAAAATGGACTCACACAAAAAACTTGGAGGATCTGGACTTCGCCGATGATATATGTATGATTTCCCACAAGCAACAAGTTGGCAGAAGAAGCATCCAGGGAGGATAGGACTTCAGGTGAACATAGAGAAAACAAAGGTGATGAAGATTCCTGGCCAACTGCAACAGTATCAGCAACAACAACAACGGACAACAATCAGCATAAATGGGAGGAACCTGAAAGAAACTACCTCCTTTACCTACCTGGGAAGCATCGTTCCAACTAAAGAAGGAACTGATGAGAATATCAAAGCAAGAATCGGAAAAGCAAGACAAGCTTCCACTACTCTCAAGTCTGTGTGGAGGTCAACAGCACTCCTAAGCATGGAAATTAAGATCCGGATTTTCAACTCCAATGTGAAATCAGTGCTACTATACGGATGAATCAGAGACTTGGCGCGTCACAAAGGGCACTTCGAACAAACTATAGACCTTCATCAACAGTTGTCTTCGCTCAATACTCAAGATCAGATGGCCTGCCAGAAAACATCAGCAACAGAGATCTCTGGCAATGAGCGAACCAACACAGCAGGAACCGATTGTGAAACAAATAGGCAGGAAGAAATGGAGATGGATTGGCCATACTCTGAGAAAACAAACCATCAAGTGACATCACTAGACAAGCCATTGCTCGAGTGGAACCCGAAAGGGAAGCGACGAGTTGGTCATCAGTACGACGGTGACTTGGAGGAGGTCATGTGAAGAGGAGATGAAAACGTGTGGGCAAACTTGGAGCTAGGTGAAGACTCTAGCAGAGAATCGAACGCAATGGAGACGCACGGCTGAAGCCCTATGTTCCTCTAGGAATTAAAGGAAACAATAATAATAATAAATAATTAGTAGTGCTCATCTCCACTGAATGAAACTCAGGGCCTCTACGGCATGCTTTGAAAATGTTCAATAGATCACAATCAATTTGATGAAATGTCACTTTTTTCTCACTTTCTGAAGGGGTGTAACTAACATTTATCTAGTGTCATGAATGATAATTCATCTTTAATTTCAAGATTAAAAGACGAAGCTATACATTGCTGTCTAATTGCCATTTGTCTTATACTTCTCATGAACAGCCTTACCGAAGATGATAATTACTAGTCTGAACGAGAACATTCCTAGATGTCGTTTCGTATAAAGTCAAGGAAAATCGTCTCTGTTTACTTAGTGTCATGGTGTACTAACACAATTAAGAAAATATTCACAAACAAATTTATGATAAATCTTCTAAATTTCACTGCATGAATTTTTTTCTTGAGGGCACTGGAAGTAAAAACTTAAGAGGAACTTGTTCTTACCTAATGCACAAGCACTCTGTAAGTATCGCTGTTAATATACTATGAATGATATGGGATACTCAAAAGAATTTTATATCAGAGTCAATAATGAAAAGTCACATTCTGCAAATTGCAATTTACATAATTCGAGGTTAATAGTTTCACTACACAGTTCGCTTTGAAAACCGGAAGTATTCAGGTCACCAGAAGTGACCTACTTGATTCCATAAGTGGTAGGTAATCAAGCGGGGAAAGCAGAGATGCATGGTGCTATTTTACTACTGATTGATTGAAATGAGTAGTTGTATACCACTCGCATCAACAAGTAGTGAGTGCTTAGTACTCAGATTGAAATGATTTGAACAGAGTTTTGCTAGCTTGGAGCAGAACTCATTAGCAGCAGTATACCCCGTATGACTCAGCTCAGATAGACGAGTCAGTTCAAACCACTTGGCTATAAAAGGGAATATTATTCAGTGGAGAATGCACTTAGCTAAGAATCAGCATGTGTTTTTGAAGTATGCGCTGAAGATGTCGCCTAGTAGGGCGATGAAAGCTTCGCAAATTAACTATCCAGCTCAGAGAACACAACCACATCAAAATCATCCACCTGAGCTACAAATCTTCTCCATCATATCAGTATGTGTTGTTTGGAATATTCTTTGGATTTCAACCGTATAAGATAAAAATTTGACTAACACTTTGCTTTAAATTAAAAACCATTTGATCTACAAGAACACAGTGGAGTCAAACTAAGGGTGAATATATTCTCCGACAATAAAATGATAAAGAACCTTAAACATGCTTGAACTTAATGAATAACACTGAATCAACGAGTGGTCAAAAGCTGCAAAACTGTCTAGAAATGGGGAATTTGTCGTTTCAACTAATTTTGAATAGTCGATACGGCTAAGAACTATTTACTAATTATTTCGTGTCATTTACAGCTTTGACGCCATGAAGGAGGAGCTGAGTGTTCTAAAAAAGGATACACATTGAAAACGGCTATCCTGGAGGCTTCATCACAAAACCCTAAAATCCTTCTCTATCTGAATTTGCAATTCAGTGGAGACTCATAGGCAGAAATACTAAGAAACCGTTTGTGCAGTTCATTAAGAAAATCCTGAACTTCAACTTACTATTTCTACAAAACCGATGATTTGGATGAACGTGATGGACACCTTACTACCACTGGCCTCGTTAATGTATATCTATCAATTCAACTGCTCCTATAGAGCTAAGTATGTTGACTTTACTCAGAGTTTGCTACGCAAACGCATGGTCAAACATTTACCTTCATTGTTTTACAGAGTAGAAAATGTATCCCTCAGGAGCACTATCTTGGAAAACCTGATCAATCCTGAATACCAAGCGAACTGGCAAACCAACTTCAGAGTCATCTACAGAGTACGGGTAAATCTTACCAAATAAGTATGAATTAAACTTACTCAAACTGCAGAAGGTATGGCAATCAACATGGTAAATCCTGAACTCTGCATACAGAAGTTTGTTCAGTCACTGAACTTAGAGTGGAACTAATTTATCTCAACACTCGATTGGTGACATGGCTCAAAATCGTTCTCAATGGCTGGCGTAGATGCATCCACTCCTTGTGACTTATGATTTCAAATGAAACTGTTTTGTTCTCCGTTATTACTATTCCTTTGTCTCACACCTCTGTTTACTGACTATATTATGCATATCTTCTACTTTCTTCTCTTGCTTTGTGTGCTACATGGAGTGTGGCGACTTGAACTGCCGCACATATGTGCAAAGTCCTATGTCGAAAACCGATCGACCGACCGATCTCAACACTCGATACATGATTTTCTGTCATTTTAATTTTTTTTTAAACAATATTATATTTACCCCTTTCCAACTAATACGTTTCTACTCCTTATAACACTGATCTTAACGCTCTTTCAGCTTTACATTAGGTCTGTTCAAAACCTGTCAGTTAAGTTACATCATTCAATTTACTTATTTCAAACTAATTAGTTCCCTTTATGAATTTCGACAAAACAATAAGAAAACGTAGTTCATCTGAAAAGTGTAATGTATTTGCGCAACACATTTCGGACATTCTGATCACACACACGTTCTTTTCATACACATCTATGTAGAAGGCAAGATGGCATGAATTATTACAATACAGGTCAAGGTCACAGATAAGGGATAGAAAGATAGCATAAGAGTATGGGGTAAGAAAAGAAAGACAGAAAAGAGAGGAAGGGAAAAGGTGAAAATATCATTAAGTAAATTGAACCTTAGAAGACTTTTGTAAGTTTGCATTGAAAGATACTTCTGAGTTAATAGAGTGGTCTTTATAACGTTCATACAAAGGACAAAACCCTCTTTAAAGATTTTTAATGACCCCAACCAGTTTGCTTATAAACATAGTAGATGTACCTTAGATGCCGCTGTTGTTCTATATCATAATATAGTCTCTAGTTTAGATAGAGGAGCCAAATATGTTCGGTGTGCCTTCCTTGATTACACATCTGCATTTGACTCTGTTCCTAGGTCTCTCTTGCTAAGTAAGCTTGCTGCAACACAGAGTGAGAGCTGGACAAATAAGTGGTTGCATTCCTATTTTTCTGATAGGAAGCAGTACACTGTCTACAATGGAAAGTCCTCCACTACCTCACTTACTTTAGCTGGTGTTCCTCAAGGTGCTGTTCTTTCTCCTTTTCTGTTTTCTTTTTTCTTACATGACTTGCCCCATTCTGATGTAGCCACTTTTGTCAAGTATGCTGATGACCTCTCTGTCTCCATGCCTGTCAACTCTCAGTCAGACTGTTCCAAATTAAATAACTTTCTCTCGGAAATTAGTCAGTGGTCCTCTTCAAACGGTCTTAAGCTAAATCC